TATATATATATATATATATTTATACGCATATATTTTTAAATGATATTAAAACACGTCTGAACAGCTGTAGTAAATGCCTATATAACAGGTATAATCCCTATATGGCTATATATCCCTAATATATGCATGGATGTGTACATTTTTCTTCACCAATTCTACCCCACTGCACACACATCATCTATCGAGAGTTTTTAAGATAATACGAGTTGATAATTGATAATATATAACCATAATTATTATGTGGTAACGCGTGTATATTTAAGACTAACTGACACTTATTATACTTATGCATCACAATATACTTTGTATAAAATATAATATCATAAATGTTGAGCTAAGCCTATAAGGGCGTGTTTATGTATCTATAAGTTTGTTTCGATTTTGTTTTTCAACTATTATAAGCATGTTAAACGCAAAAAAAGTCCCGAAAATGTAATATATATATTATACTGCATATGTGTGCATATTATATTATTCTATAATATATAGATAAAAATATATAGGTAGGTATATATAGTATATATACTATATAACGTGTGTTTCTTGGAGGGGAAAAAATTATAATTAATTAATTTACAGATTCGTTTAACAGATAATGTAATAGAGTGTGAAAAAACATGAAACATTATCATATAGTTGATTATAGAAAATTATAATATAATATTCATGTAGGTAGGTACATCAATTCAGAACTGTAGGTAAATGCAAAACAAAACAAATTAATATATTCATAAATTTTTTAAACAATAGATGCAACAATATAATGTTAGTATAGGTGGTATCATTATGATAATGTATAGTACCTATTTATATAGGATTCATATATTAATATGGACTTATGTCCATTGTATAAGGTACCTATAACTTTTCCGTTTCATAAATAGATAATAATATGGTATGCGTATAGGTATAGCTGAAAATTTAAAACTATTATTTATTAGTCTTCATACACTATAAAGCTATATATATTGGCTAATGTAATATACATATTAAAATAAAACTACATTTTCAAGTTTCAGCGCATGTAGGTATATTAATAATGAGTGTTATTTTGAATGATGGGTCACATTTAAATAAAATATTTTTTAAATTTAAACTTCAAATCTATAATATGTAGTATATAAAAAATATGCTTATGTATTTTTGATATTTTTTAATGATAGAAAACTTATCAGCACTGAGTATTAGCCTTGTATWAAATGTTTTTAAGCTTTATTGTGAAATAAAACAAAATTTTTGAAACAGAATAATTTGAAAATTTTGTGATTTTAACGAATTTTTCAAAATTCTATCTTCAAACATATAATATTAAAAAAATCGTGGCTATACTTATTTGTATTTTCAATGAATTTATATTGCTATGATAATAGGTATCTGGTATTAAATTTTCCGATTTTCAATCATATAATATTTTGACTTAGCCTAAAAATAACTGTGGTTAATGACATATTATCTATATATATATATTATAAGTAATGTAAACGAGTCAATAAATTAAAATGTCAATTAAAATCTGTAATAAAGTTAAAATATCTAGCTATATGGTTATATCGTTTACCTGTATAGGTCCGTCAGCCTGGCACCTTGAAATTAAAATGCTGAAATCACACCATATATAATTATATATTATAGATACCTACTGTTTGTTTTTTTGAATTACAATAATATAAGGAAACTGATAATATTATAGTATTTAGTTTAGTGCTTCAACTATAGTTGCCTAAATATTCTCATATAAGTACCTATCGAATATTTAAGAATATCATATAGATATAAGAGTAACTGCTGACTTATAATTTTTAGTCTAGAAGTTAAAAGAAAAACGTTTAATATATCATCGTTGAACTATAACTAATAAATTCATCACTGTATGCATAACATGTAACATTATTGGGTCTTCTTAAAAGTTATTGTAAAAGTTGCAGGACATTATTAGTCTGCAGACTATTATATACGCCATAACACTATAGGGTCGTTATATATTATTGTATGAAATATTTTTAGCGTACATTTATTAATCAAAATGAGATAAAATAATGTTTATGTATAGGTACTTTCCGAACCCGCGCCGCCGTGGTCTGAAAAATATAATAAATGAACTATATATAAGTATATAACATCACATAATATGTATAATAATAGTATTGGGTAACCGCAATATAACTTATTTTCCTAGGTCAGAAATACAAACAAAAAAAAAACCAACCATTTCCAATCGAGTGGATATAATAACCCTCATTGCATGGAGAGATTTAAAAAACGACTACAACAACAACAACAAATAATATTAATACCAAAACAAAAACAGCCCTCGCAAAAGCGCGCGATTATGATGTTACCAGCTTAATAATGATGCTGGGCGGCGGTTATCCCCGGCGGAATTCGTGCATCAGAATTAATATTAGCCGATGGGGCGGAACAAATGTCGCGTGGGCGAAAGC